CATATATATATATTCTAAAGAAGTAATGGATTTTTTTATTAGTTCGTCAGATTTTATCACTTTAAACATTATTTTTAGTAGATATTCGTATTAGAGTAAACTCACCGTTAATCTATTAAACAGTATATTTCTTTTTTTCCCCTACCGGCCTGAATATTCGAAAAATCTTATCAAATTAAGATATAAGTTCTTAAGTAGAGGGAACCTTCGTTAGATCTGACGTCGTCCTCTAGACTGACTAAGGAGAACTTAGGCGATCACGCAAGGCCGAATAGTGCATTTAAACGAAATTCTTCTCGTTTTAATATTTGCTCAATTTAGTATTCAAACGTAAACAAAATACCGCCAAAGATACGCGTTACCTAAGGTTTAAAATTAATTTTTAAAAATGAAAAATCTTTCTTGAAGATTTATTTTAGTTTTAATTTCAAGTTACTAAATTAAATTTGATATTTCCAATAGGCAAAATACTTTGTTGTATTTCAAACGAATTTAAATTTTATTTTTATTTGCGAAAAATGGCTGATTTACATTTCTTTCAGCACAATGTAATTCTTTTTATTAAAAAATCATTCAAAAATAAAATATACTTTTCTTTTATTTGGGGAGAATTAGCTGATTTAAAATTTAATTAAACTGATTTGAAACAAATATTACTTAATTTTAGTTTAAATTATCGCAGAAATGCATTTTTTTTACACAGAAGTGGATCTTTTTATGAGGTGTTGGCAACTCTATTGACAACCGGAAATCGAACTAGTTTTTTTTTCTATGGGGGACTTATCTGTAAAAATTATAAGTTAAGCAGCTTTTTTCTATAATTTTATAAGTAGACAGTAAATTTTAAAATTTAGGAAAATATTCTAATTAATTTTATTTTTTATTGAATTTTAGGTATACGGGCTTTAATTTTACTATAGTTACCGTTCTTATTTTCTGAAAATGTCGTGTATGGATGTCTGTATTTACAAAATTTGCCACGTTCATACACACACACACGCAAAAAAATCAGAATTCTTTTTAAAAAATGGAGGTTGCTGAATTACAGTAAGCCTTTCCATTTATGATTAGTAAACATACTTTTTATTTAATAACAATATCACATTACCGATGCAAATTAATTACCATTTTTGAGAAATAATTATCACTCGTTGGAGCGTTTCGAAGTTCGTATCTGCTAATTTTATTTTCGTATACGAAACATAAACAAGTAATTTGTAAGGAAGTAATGAATTTTTACATATAATCCGATACTATTTTTATTTAAGGAATTAACAAAGGAAATCCGACATGACAGCGACGTGAAGTCTTTAGGTGAATCTTTATAAATGTATATTTCCCTATGGAGCAATCGTTAGTAAACTCATTTCGTGGATCATTTATATCGTGTTGCTTGCTCAGATCAATCGTTAAAAATGGCTTCGAGCAAATGAAGCCTGTAGGTCTAAGCGAGGACTATCCTTCTTCGATCCCCTCGTAGATTGGCGACACAGAATAAAAAACAAAGGACTGTACCAAATAACCACATCACCTGAGGAATTTCAACAGTAGCAACAACGAAAATAAATGACTTCATCAAGGTTTGCTGCTCAAGCTCTCCAGCTATGGATTCAATGGAAGAGTTTTATTAATTATAAAGTCCTTCCTAACGAGTAGGATCCTGAATGTAGTTATTAAACGTAAGCATCACTTGGGGTGACTTCTCGGACCAACACTCTTTTTGCTTTACATAAATGATCTGCTTAAGAATGTACTCAAAATCATGTGTGAATATCTTTGTCAATGATACGGCGATATCTGGGTGCATCTCTAAAACACTTGATGACGAGAGATTAGCAGTTGATCTCTTCTCTAGTTTAGCACTAGTTTCAGTAAGTACCTGACTCTGCATGCTATCCTTTACCGTTACAAGATCCCGATCAAGCCTAAAATGGAGTATTGTTGGGAGCTACTCATGTTCTCTCTCCAGTCTTGATGACAAAATATTTTCCATGCTCCAACCTCTCAATCTCTCTCTGTCTTACAGGCGGGACGTGGCAACCCTCTCACTGTTCTATCTCTACTTCCATGGAAAGTGCTAGGATGGAATACATTCCTTGGTTCCGCAGGTTCTAAATTAAAACATGGCTAGTACACGCCATACCACTTAGATTGTTGCAAATCATCCACATTCCTCCGTGTTGCATTGGTGAAAAATAAGTACCACTCTAACAGCATCTTCACGCGAAACACTGCTCTGTGGAACCGACTCCCAAGAGTTCTAATCTAGAACACGCCATGCCACGTACATTGTTGAAACCACCCACATTCCTTCCGTGTTGTATTACTGAGAAATAAGTTCCTTTCGAAGAGCTTTTTCCCGAGATCTACTGCTCTGTGGAAACGCTCTGTGCCACTTACATTGTTGCAAACACCGACTCCAAAAAATAAGAGAACAGCTTTTTCTCGTGAACCACTGCTTTGCGCAAACTTTAAAAGCGTGTAGGTCATTTACATTGTTGCAAACCACCCACATTCCTCCCTGTTGTAATGGTAAAAAATAAGTTCCACTTACAACCACTTCCGGGGAACCAACTTGCAAAAACACGTGTCACCGATATTTCCTCCGCGTTGCATTGGCGAGAAATTAGTTCCACTCGAACAGCTTCTTCCTTCGAACTACTGCTCTTTGGACCGACTCCCTAGTGTTCTAACCTAGAACACGTTTAGGATACGTCATGCCACTTACATTGTTGCAAACCGCCCACCTTACCTTCGTGTTACATTGATGAGAAATATGTTCCACTTGAACAGCTTCTTCCCGCGCACCACTGCTCTGTGGAACCAACTTCCAAGATGATGTTTCCCCGATCCTTACAATCTTAACCTGCCTAGGGTTAACCGTTTTCTTCGTTTCTTATCCGTATAAACTGACTCTTAATGTAACCGTCTACATCGAGTTCCCCCCCTCCGGGCCTTGAATAGGATGAACCATAATGTAAAAAAATATCGTCAATATGACGTTACCCACAACTTAAAAACAAAAATGTGGAAACCCTCCCCCATCATTACTGGAACACGCGATAGCAGTCAATGGACGTGAGAAACTGATTTTCCTGAAAAGTTATTTTAACATAAAGTTTTTATAAATCGAAATAGTATCGAAATATCGAAAGTAGAACTGGCTGCTCGGTCAGTGAATGACAAATGTTTCCTTATAGGGAAACGGCTAATATTAGCATTACCATTTACCAGATTGCATCAAGCTTAATTAAGTAAATTTAGGCAGTTGTAATCTGTATGGGTGATCTCGGAAAGCTACTATTAACAATGTCATCTTCGCAAGGTCTATTCTCTTAGGCGCTTCTTTGTTCTTGACCTTGTGTCTGATTTAACTTTATTATGTTTTACTTTACCAAAACTGTACTAATGAAGAATATTTCTACATGAGTGTTAGACGTATTAGTATTTATTTGTCAGAAACTGTCTGTTTTCTGTCTTTAAAGAGATGTCAAACGACAAACATTCTTCATTTTCAGTTCTGTCTCTCGTCTTTTAATTTCATTAGCCTAAAATGTCCCAGACACTGATTATTTCACGACAGTAGGTCTTGGCAAATGGTTTTTTTCCGGGGTGATTTTAACTGACAGTATGATTCTGTTTTAGGTATACTGAGTCTAATAAAGTTAAAAAGGACAATTAAAATCCCAAGAAAAAAGACGAACATATGTTTTGAAATGTTTTTGTCGTATTCCACAAAGAATCTACGGCATGGCGATGACCAATTTCGATGCAGCTCGTAAAAAATATTGAGATGCTTAACTAGTTAAAGATCAACATGTTAACAAGTGTATAAGTAAAATAGAATAGAATTTGAAGGAATAAGTGGAGAAAATAAAAGAGATTAGAAGATTTTGAAGGAGGCGGGGAGGTAAAGAGGTAAGAGGACGACAAAAGAGAAAGAAGTTAAGGTTGAGTATAAAGAGGAGAAAAAGAAAGATCAATGAGATTGTGGAGAAGGTGGAAGAAAAACTGAAAAAGTACGATTACAAAAACAGTAGAAGTAGGAGTAGGAAAAAAGATATAAGCTAGTGAAGGGGAGAAGAAGATAAAGACGGAGGGGGATGATAAATAGAAGTAGGATGTCGTAGAATGGACAACAAGATTTTCAAGGAGAAAGACAAGCGAAAAGAGGAAGGCGAACAATAACAAAGAAGGCAAAAGAAGATGTGGATAAGTAGAAGTGGGAGGAACGGGTAGACTATGAAAGAGGCAACTGAGAAACTAAAGAGGAAGTCGGGCGATAAGAAGGAATAAAGAAAAAGAAAACAAGTAGGCGTAGTGGGAGTAAATTGTGTGCTGTATTAATGAAGGGAAATGAGGCTTCTTTTTCTTCTCTTATCTTTGATCGGCTGCAAACGTCTCCGCTTCAAACAAATTGATTGGCCACTTTTAGGTTATCTTCGGACAGATGCGAGGATTATTTTTTTCTTCTGATAGCAAAAGGTGAGCAAATTTTACGAAATATTAAGTTGCCTGATTAATAATTTCAGCGAAACTATGGAAGCAAGATGTTTTATTCTCTTTTTGATATTATTTTTTTTTAATCGATTTAGTCCTCTGTAATATAGGTATGAGCCACCTGGTGCGGAATAAAACCATTGTAACAGCAGTAATGGGAACGCAAAAGTTTGTTTAACGCCACTGATTCAAGTGGGAGGGTCCATTTAGAGTAAATACTGATGGAAAAGATTTGCCGAGGAGGAGAAGACAGGAGCTGAGGGAGAGATAAATAATGTACCGATAGGAATATTGTTTGAGGTGGAGTGAGTTTTTATCTAAAATAGGGACAATTGTTTACGTTCAATTTTATGAATACTCAGTTTAATTTAATTTTAATTAACATTTTCTTTTTTTTTATGCGTTATGACCCTAAAGAACAGGGCGATCATGGCTTTTTTGCAACTTTCTATAGTTTTTAGCTCTAATCAATGATTGTCCCTTTATGAGCTCTCCCAGGGCTTGCGGCCGTATCACATTAAAACAATGGTTCTCGTACGAACTGATCACCGTAGTTAAGCAAGATCGAGTCTGGTTAGTACCTAGATAGGTGACCACTTGGGAATATCAGGTGCCTTAAGTGTGGATGGTTTATAGATAACGACTCTTAATTGGAAATTGGAGAGCCGAGTTTCAATTTCAGATTAGTTTGTTATATGCCCTTACGAGCAAATACCATTGGGTAAGTTATGAATCCACCGTAATTTCTTTTACTTATGGGTTAATAAGTAAAACTTGTAACAGTAAAAAAACATTATTTCCCATTCCTTCTTTAAATGACCTGCAAAAGGTTGATAAGCCATAAAAAACAAATCACTATCTGCAATTAATTTCCAAAAACTCGTTAGGAACATTACTGGGTGTTTCCCGCATGTCCCGTGAGCGTCAAATTCTCCAAGCCGTCTTTCTTCATGATGTGTCCCCAAATTTGTCTTAAATTAAATTTCATATGGCATTATTTTTGTTTCCTAATTGCTCCAATACAAGTTTTTATATTTCAATATTGAAGAACAATATTTATTTTATATTCAATGGGATTTGTGACATGCAACGGAAACAAAGGACATTTATATCTTTTTAAAAAAATCATTTCACCCCATGCAAGGCAACTAAACAATTCTAAATACTAAACAAAGAACAAGGGACAAACCTTTACTCCTGTTCAAAAGACCGGGGAGATATTACCTAAGTTTGGAACTATGCTTTACAATCAATTATATCAACACTGTTTAAATTAAACTTTATACAACATTATTTTTGAATTATTTCAAACTATTTTCAGTCTGTGGGTGATCAAGGTTCTCCACAGCTTCCTATCCTTTGTAACCGTAAGCAAAGATTTCCCCCCATACTATCCTTGCCAGTCTTTATTCTGCCATAAAAACTCGTTAGGTATTTTCCTTAACCTGTCTTTCCTTCAGCATGTCTCGTGAGTATCAAAATCGTCAAGCTGTTTTTTATTATGTGTCTCCAGAATCGGTTTAAATTCAATTTGATATAACAGTATTCTTGTTTGCACATTGCTCCAATACAAGGTTTTATATTCCTATATTGAGGAACGCTGAACAATATTTGTTTTGTATTCATTGTGATTTGGGACATACAAGGAAAATATAGGAAATTAACAAACTTCATATCTGATAAATGCTTCCTACGTTTCTCATTGGGACATTTCTACCCAGCTGTCCTTTTACAAAGGCTAATAAATGCGACATTAATTTTTTTAAATAAAATTATCGAATATATATATATATATATATATATATATATATATATATATATATATATATATATATATATATAAAATGTAAATTACAGAGCATAAATATCATAAGTTATCTGATTTGAAATATGGTTTCTTCGCTACACAGTAAACATGGTTATTACTGTGTAGCGAAGAAACCATATTTTAAATCAGTTAATTTATAATATATATATATGTGTGTGTGTGTGTGTAATGAAATGGATTATACCAGACAATTATTTAATAGATTTTCTGTTTATGCATTATTTTTATAGATACAATTTATTTAATAAATGATCTGTTTTTTAATTAAAAGGTATTAATTACATTTACTGGCCTTAAATGTTCGAGAAATTTCGCAGAAAATATGCGTTCTCCGACAGGAATCGAGCCTGTATTCCTATATGTAAACCGTCATTTGATCTAACGTGCTATACCATTTAGCTACAGAGAATTATCTGGTTAGCAAAGTCCAAATTACAGTTTTTAAACACACAATCTTCGACAATTTTTCTCCATTGATAATTCATATTATGAAATGGATTATGTCCGACAATTATTTAATATATTTTTTGATTTTTAAAATAAATGTATGTATGTATATATATCTATCTATCTATCTATCTATCTATCTATCTATCTATATATATATATATATATATATATATATATATATATATATATATATATACATTTTTTTATATATAGATATAGATACATTTATTTTTGAATATACTATATGATCAATTCTATCAAAGTCCATGTTTAATTCAATGAATCTATCTATCTATCTATCTATATATATATATATATATCTATATATATATATATATATATATATATATATATATATATATATATATATATATATATATATATATATATATATTCTCAAGAGGAGAGAATCCAGGTAGAACTCAATATCCAGGACAGAGTAAGAATATAATATAAAAGGCTCAAATACTAATATTCCATGGTTATAATTTATTGCATTGGAATCGTAATCATGATCCAATTCATCAGACCTACAAATTCATATATATATATATATATATATATATATATATATATATATATACAGTGGGGAGAAACAAATATTCGTACACATACAAATTTTTTTATTTATTGTATTTACAACTAATGAATAAACATACTTTTCACATAATTAACTGTATGTACATAGTTGCATAATAAATAAATATGCTTAGAAAACAGAAAAAAATCATTTAATAGAAAAAAATCCTATTTATCCATTTTAATGGATGAAAAAAGTTAGTTCACTGTGTCATGCTAGACAAGTTTCTCTCCAGAATCTCTTACATATCTATCATTCGTCCATGCTTAGAATATTGCTGCCACATATGGTCCGGTGCCCTTGTTATTTATCTTGAGTTCCTTGATAAAATCCAAAGAAGAGTCAGCAATATTATTCGTCCCGATCTGGCAGCTTAGCTTCAGTCACTTTCTCACCGCTGTAAGATTGCCTCTCTGTGTCTATTCTATAAATACTTTCATGGTAATTATTCGGATAAGCTCTTCGCTATGGTACCTAGACTTTTTGAATTTAAGCGCAGCACTAGACTGCCGTCAAGATCTCATCAATTTACAATTGAGCTGGTTAGATGTAACCATAAATTCTATGCTAACAGTTTCTTTTCTCACACTTCTCGCTTGTGGAACTACTTTCAGGCTCCATGCTTTCCAGCCAACTTTAATCTGCAAAAATTTAAATGCAGTGTCAATCGCTATCCACTGTCCTTCTGATTACTCTTTCCTCGTCCCGCTCATTATTAATGTTTCTGTTCCTAATTCTTCCACATCCTATAACCCCTTGTGTCGTAGTGGCTTTCCTGTCTTGCATAGGGTGATACCGATTATAAAAATAATATTACGATAATATAAAAATAACAGAAATCCTAAAGTTTAGAGATGTCAAACCTAGTTTCTGATAAGCTATAAATATTTAGAACCCTTCGATAAATGAATAATTTACTTAGAGTGCCATTTACACACACTAATATCCAAGACGGAAATACTTGGTTATGGATATAATTCAAATCAAAAGACGTATTAATATGGGTGACAGAACTAATTTCAACTCGGAACCTCAAAAGGGTAATTTGCATTTCAAGCCCCGCGCTCAGTTTCTAAAAAAAACATTTCCCGAATAGTTCCATTTAAGTTTAAATGCTTAATTCGAAAATAACAAAGAAATTTGAAGTTATCGACAATAAAAGTTCGGACTCATTCGCATCGCGGTGGATGAAGTTAAAATTAATTCTGCATCCCATTAATATCTATCTTTCGATTTTATAAAAAAAATGATCTAATACGCATGACCGAACAAATTCAAATATATTTGCATCATAAATTAACGTCTTTTAAAGAGAATATATCTTATTTTAAGAAAACATATTTTCCTTAGAAATTTTGTTATTTTGTTTTCTATACATTTTACTTCTTTTTCTATGTATCGTATCTCTTCAGGGTGTAGGCGATCATGGCTCTCCATAATTTCCTATCCGTTGTAACTCTTAATAAATGTTGTCTTTCTGTTATCACTTTTAAATCTTGTTCCACCATCCATTTACTCAAGTTCGCTAGCTAGTTTATGCATTGTTTTCCTTTGACCCTATTTCCTTCAATCTGTCCTGTTTGTGTCAAATTTTACAAACCAACTTTCCTCATCATTTACTTTAGAAATTTCAACTGGCAACACTATATTTACATAAGATGTCTGTCATCCGGCATATGCCTGATTTCAAAGTGCCGGATTAAAAGTATGACGGACTGTATAGCAATGTATGATGGGCAATTTAAAATATAAAATTCATTGACAATCAGCAAGAAAATCATTGTCGGTGTCAGGAATTAAGACCCAAGTCTTCTTCGATGTGCCGTGTCTCCTCAGGACGTTGGTGTTCATGACTCTCCACAATTTCCTGTCCTTTGTGATCTCTCCTAAACCTTATTCCACTATACATTTACTCAAACTCGCTAGGTAAGTTATGCGTTGCTTTTCTCTGACCCTCTTGTCTTCAATCTATCCTGTGAGTATCAAATTTTCCAAGCCCTCTTTCCTTATTATGTGCCCTAGAAATTTCGACAATCTTTTTCTGATGTTAATTATAAATGCCCTTTTTGTTTCCATTTTCTCTAAAACTCCGTCGTTGCTCACATGTTAAGTCCATAGTATTATCAGTATCTTTCTGTAGAACTACATTTCTGTTGCTTCAGGTCTCTTCTTCCTCTGTGAGGAGATTGTCCAGCATTCACTGCAATATACGAGGACTGATATTACGTAACAGTTCAGTACTCTTTTCTTTGTTTCTAACGAATTTTTCCTGTTTTTTAATACTTTGCTTAGCTTTTGGAAGGCAAATTTTGCTATTCCAATGCACCTTCAGATTTCACTATCGCAATTTCCGCCCTTTGTTAAAACACTTCCCATATATTTAAATTGTTTTATTTCTTTTTTAATTTTTTTTTATATTCAGGTAGCTTCTTAAAGGAGGCTGTGGATAAAAATAAAAATGTACAACATCTAAATACGATGCTAATAATGATGAATAGACGGCAAAACATAGCAATATTTAGGTAGGTAAGGTAATTACTCGTAGAGGGTGGACCATAAATATACTAATAAAATTATGGCTATAAAATTGTAATACGTAATTGTTTTTTTTTATAAAAAATTTAACTATATTTTAAGGTAAAAGATAGACTCTGTCGGCAGTTTACTGTTAATTCACTCCTTTAGTTTAACAGAGATTTTTGTTAGCAAATTTGATTATTTGAAATTTTTCCTGTAAACAGAGCAAACACGGTTCAT